CACAAATAGAGTCGTTGGGAGCCGACATCTATAAAACTTACCAGCTTTTCTTGAGCCTTGCAATCTTGTAGACTCAAGTTGATAGACTGATAAGACAATACAATTTTCTTTCAGTAGTACAGATAATCCACAGTTTTATCACCGACTCTAATAGAAACTCGTCTGAATGCTGAGGCCTTTAGTTCATAGTTTGCGTCAAACCACACTAGCAATTGTTCTTCAGACTCTTTCACCAAAAGCCAGCAATGAAGCAACTCCAAGTGTGTCTAAGTAAAACATATTATGTTTATTTATGTACAAGAACCTGCATAAATAAAACACACATCAAATAAATCATTGTTCTTTTAATACTTTTGTTATCATCAAAACTAAAAGAGAATATGTCAAGAACAAATCTTGTTCTAACATGGAGTACTCTCAGTTGGGAGAGGAACCAGGATAATTATTGTGTGTTCTTTGCTATTTTTACTTTACTTCTGTTTCTATTTCTGATGCACCCTATCAGATTCTGAACTCATTAGAATCTGAATTCTGGTTCAGAAGTAAATCTAATTTTTGCAAAACACAATTCAACCTCCCCTCCCCCCCCCCCCCCCCCCTCTTCTTGTGTATTTTTCTCACCTTCACCCTATAGATACCACATGGCTTACTCACCCATCCTAGCTAAGTTTCTAAAATACCTCTAAAATGTGAATTTTGGAATCTCTATGAACCAAAACAGACGCTAAATACAAGTATAGAATTATGGACATTGAAGTTTGAATGCACTCCAACACACCACAACAAACCCAAATTCAACATACGGATTTCAAAATTCGGACACTTTCATTTAAGTAACTATGCCCTATCTTTCTCTCTTCTATCCCTTCCATTTGAAATTAAAAAAACTAGTGTAGACTAAAGCTCTCACTAGTGTCTACTCGTGTTCCAATATTGTTCAAATCTTTCTCTCAAGTTCTACTATTGTTTATTCAAATCTAGGATCTTCATCAACTTCTACTCCTCTTCGTTCAAACTAAGCACATTCATCTGTCACATTTTGTAAGTTTCTAATATCCTTTCCCTTTTTTGTGATGCATACAATTCCTTTTAAGGTTATAGTTATGCTACATTAGGATAAATGTCTAATTACTCGTTTAACCATGTTGCAGTACTGTGACACATTGAAATGTATAAACTATGATAAGAAGATATCAAAGATGGAGCTTCTTGATGAACCATAGTTTCAAGAAGCCTTGGAGCTATCTGGGCTCAAGAACTTTCAGTAGTACTAGATACAATTATATTGACCATGGTGATTATATTCATTTGTTGAGAGGTTGACCATAAAGACGTCGTCATGTCATCATCTGATAGGTGACATGAGTATCACCCTTAATTGTGTATCATGCGTCCTATATCTTCTGATCAGATAAATATTGTTGGATCACTCTAGAATTAGTAGACATGAGGTCTTCGACTTGATGGTGAAAATGTCAGGGTTTGATCTGAGTGAAGCCCAAAGGGAGATACAAGACACTAGTGGATGTCATGTTAGCTTTTCATGCCTATCGGAAAATTCTATTAACCGATAGAGTATGTGCATTGAGGACATACTTCCTAATTTTAGTTGGCACATGCATATTCGTGGATAAAAGTGAGACCTATGTTAATGTTGTTTATATGTAAATACTTCATGGACTTAGAGAGGATTCACGAGTACAATTGGGGAATATGTTGTTTGACTTACCTCTACTCTAAGTTAGTTGAAGATACTTTATGGAAGATCATGTAGATAACAGGAAACAACTGTCTATTTCAGGTAATTTATTTACATTCTTGCTGATATTAATTTCATAATACTTGTGCTACATATTTAATAATATTTCATTTAAACTATTTTTAGGGTTGGATCCTGTAGCATTTTCCAGGTATCGTCAGTTGGGAATATGTTGAAGACTATAAGAAATTTCTACATGTGTGCTCAATTATCCCACTCAGGAGTAATTCAACGACTGAATGGTACATACGTTCTTTTGATCGCTTCCTAGAATGATATCTATTTTACACCGTACGATAAGGATCATTAGCCATAATCGTTGGAGGTAATATCCTGGTACTCTGGATGTTTGACTTATGGGTCTCAACTTATGTACATGCATATGCTTGAGCGAGTATTTCAAGAGTTATGGTATATGCAGAATACCCCAGGATTGCTCTTGCCACTATCCTCTACAAAGATATTGATGTGATATTTTCAAACTACAATGAGCATATAGGTCTAAAGTATGCATGCAATGTGTCAGCTCATCACCCATGATGTACGATATGCAATTACATCCAATGGTTTAACATAGTGTCCCATCCTTACTCGACATCATGCCTATATGTCACTGTGTTGTTGTTGTAGGAAAAGAGATCATAGTTAGAGGAGAGTTTCAGGAAGGCACTTCTGAGAGGTCACTCTACAGGTAATCTTAGAATAGGGACGAAAATATGCATTGCAATATAGGAGGCAGAGGAGAAACTTAAGCCTTAGATATACACACTAGCTGTATTTTTATTTGTATTTCTTAAATATTTTGAAATTTTGTATGGTTAGTTGTATTTCATTAATGACTAATGTATGGTTTACGAATGAGTTATAAAAATTTGATCTTAGTTATGATTGACTTAGGTGTATACTGTATTGTGTGAATAATGTTTGGTTTAAGGGAAGGGAAATCGATCTCTTTCTGTTCGTCTTCTTGGATTTCTGAAGCTCTTTTGGCTGAGAAATTCCAAGATCTGTTTCTGTTAAGCAAGAAGAAGAGAAGCTCGGTGAGATCCATGGGCGAGTTCTTAAATGGCGAATGGTGTTGGGAAGATTTAGGCATCTCTCAAAGTCTTGATCCTACTGCTTCTATTCAATTGCATCTCCTTCATCAATTACTGCAGCAATCTACTCCAATTCTTGAGGCTAAAGATAAGGCAATTTGGGGGCTGGGAGTCAGTAAGGAATTTGTAGTCCGTGATGTATATATCAAACTGGTGCCTGAATTAGTTAATCCAGAAATTTCTCCCCACAATTTTCATCTTTCAGATTGTTATGGAAGTTGAAAGTTTAGCCCAAATTGAAGTTGTTTGGTTGGAAGCTTTTTTGGAACAAATTGTCTTCAAAGGATAACTTGGTGAAGCGTGGCATGATGCTCCCTAACCTCCGTTGCTCTTTCTATAGATCTGCTAACGAGGATCTTGCCCATCTGCTTTTCTCGTGCCCTTTCGTTATGTCGGTTTGGAAATATATTGGAGATTGGTACGGTTGTCATATTGCTTTTACTGGTTTTGTTGGAGCTTCTTTCTTTCTTTGCATGATTATGGTTAGAACCCTGTTGTTTCAAGTAGGTTTGGTATGTGCTGGATTGCAATTTGTTAGACTCTGTGAAAGGCTAGGAATAATTGTATCTTTAGGAATGATTCCACCCATATTATAATAATATCTGCTAAAATATTACACTGTTATTGTGGAAATGGTACTTGCTGACTAATATATCTACTTTCAACTCTAATTTCTTAACTTTCACTTTAGATCCTTTAAGTCCTTAAATTAGCTTGGAGTTGGTTAGTAATATCTTGTTCACATGTTGTATTTTGTAGGATGAATATCCCTTGTATTCATTAATTCCATTTTACTTTCACACACACAAAAAACAATATTAGTATATTCTTTGTTCTAAAATAAATTATATAGATAACTATTTTTTTCTCCAACATCACCACCAGTATTCAGTCCATTAAACCGACTAATTTAGAAATCAGTTCTGACATTAAATGATTTCAACTTCCTTTCAATTACAAATGCGAGTGAGCAAACCGCAATTCCCTCTACTAACCCCGACACCACTTACCACTATTTCATATATATTAGAAAAATTGTAGAGTCTTGACTCTTAATTATGAAGTAAATTATTGTGTGACCATGGGCAACCAGATTACGGAAATTGCTGGCTAAAGTTGGGACTAATAAGCCGTAAATACAACAACGTTTAGCTAGGTATGCAACAACATAAAAAGTTCACTTGTTTCGAATATGCTTTCCCCCATAAAAGTAACTTTTTTTTTTTCCTTTCTTAAATGCATTTTTTAGTGGAATTTAAATACAATTTAAATATTTCTATTTTTAATTTCTTTTTTAATTTTTTGATATCTCTATTTCAAGAACTTTTCAATCCTTCAATTTTAATTTTTTCAAAGGAAATTAGTCCTCCTCTCAATTTTAGTATTCATTTTGCCAATGTGGCATAGCTAATAATGACATGGTACTACACATGTAATTTAAAATATAGACGTATCATTACTCTATTTTTCTTTTATTTTGTGTTTAAAAAGTATTAAAATAATAAATAAAAAAAGGCTTAATAATTAAATAAAAACATTATTGAGAACTTTTATTCCAAAAAAAAAAGTTACCCATATTTACAATTTTTCATCTTTCCAAATCATAATTTTAATCCAATTTTTTAAATATTTATCTTCTATTTTTAATTAATCCATTAGGCCTGATTTTTCTCATTATCTTCTATTTTTATAAGCTAATAAATCTCTAACATTAGTTTATTCCATAATTCACAACCAAATAAGCTTTTTAATTTTATTTTTCATTATTTCTACCATTCAAATCTGTGGTATTTTGATCGAACTCTAGTGTCGATAAGAATAGTTTCATGGTTCGATAAGAGTTGTGCATGTTGGAGTCGAAGTCTGTTCAAGCATTTTATCGAAATATGTTAACTTTATATTTAAGTTAGCATGTCGAATTGGGTCTTACTTGTAAGCTCAATTGTTTAAGTTGACTTGTAGCCTAAGTTAGCATAGTAGTCTATAAATAGACTAGTTCTCTCCAGTTATTGAAAGAAGTTAATTGTTGGTATTCACTTGTAATCTTTGAATTCTTATTGAGTAAGTGAATAATAAAAAAGTTTTGGTTTGTTCTTGACGACATCAATTCACAATAAACTTGTGAGGTGAGCATGGAGGAGAAGATGTCATCAACAAAGTATGAGATTGAGAAATTCACCGGTGTGAATGATTTCGGTTTATGGCACTTGAAGATGCTAGCTCTTCTTGTTCAACAGGATTTGTTAGAAGCGTTGAAAGGATCAGATAATATGGAAAGGGGAAGACATATAGGTTACCTGGAAGAGTTTGGAAAGGAATTCGCAAAGGAGTTTGGGAAGGAGTATGCCAAGGAATCTTACTCAAAAAAGTTTGAAAAAACCAAGAGAAATCTGCAACATGAAAGGAACAAAAGCTATTGGTTAACTGTTGCACTAATAGTGTCATGTGTGTTGTTTGCCATTGTATTCAATATGATGTAGTTGTTTCATTACATTTTGAAGTAGTTGCTAAATTTGTATTTAATTTAAAGTGATTTTTCCATTGTAACAGTGAGATTTTAATGAATGAGTAGCACTTTGATTCAATATCAGTTTGTAGCAATTTGAAGTAGTTGTTGAAGTTATTTTATCAGTTTAATTCAATATCACTTTGATTCATTACAACTTGTATATCAGTTTGTTCCAATATCACTTTCAATGTATATTAGTTTGTTCCAATGTATATCAGTTTGGTTCAACGAAAACAAGTTTGGTTCAATGTATATCAGTTTGGTTAAATATATATATGTGTTGTTTCAATGTATCAGTTTGTCTCAAAATGAGTTTTAAAAATGAAATGGGTTTGATTCAAAATCAAAGTGAGTTTTCAATTGCAATATTACTTTTCAATATGAGTTTTGTTCAAAATTAAAATATCATTACAGCACACGTAGCAAACCAAAATGTCATTACAAAATAGCACCTGTTGTGAAATTGTCATTACATAATAGCATCTGTTGTGCAATTGTCATACAAAATATTACTACTTAAAATAGAATTTGTTACTAATAGTGTCATTACATGATAAGGCAGAGTAGTCATTCAAAATAGGACATGTAGCAACCCAAAATACCATTACATAATAGTACCAACAGTCATACTAATTAATTTACATCATACTAATCACAACATAACATGGCAGTAGTTTCTTATGTTAATGTGTCATCTCCATCCACTACAGTCCCACAATTTCACTTATTACAAAAGGTACTTCAACTGCACCAGTTGCAAGAGGTACTTCAACTACACCAGTTGTAAGAGGTATTTCAACTGCACCAGCTGCAATGGGTACGTCAACTGCACCATTATTGACTTTTGATTTCTTTGCATAATGTTTAAGGGTTTTTCTCTACAAATTACATAAGAAAACTAAGTACATGACAATAAGGCTCATTTTGACAAAATTAAGTACACAAGAAAATTATGACAACCTTACCTTTCTTTTCAAAGCCTCTGAATTATGAATTGTTTCCTTTCATTTTCTTGAGTTATGGCCCATTTTGTCGCATTTAGTGCATTTATAAGTCACTCGAACTCTCCTGATTCTTGATCCACCTTCACCTAACTCTCTATACCTAAGCTTTGTTGGTCTCCCAGGTCCTTTCTTGTACAAAGGAGGATTTAATTCATCTGCATCAACTTCAGGCCACATGTCTATTCCATTTATGGGACTCACATCATAACTATAACAAATGGCATACATCTTCCTTGAATAACATCCACAAAGTCCTCTGGTTTTTTTTTGTTTATAAGCTAATGTTGCACAAGCATCTCTCCAAGGAATGCCCATCAAATCCCAAAACCTACATGTACAAGTTCTCTTGCCTATATCAACAACAAATTGATGGGTGTTGTAGACATGTTTTACCTCTTATTCATCATTCATGGACCATATTGGGATCCATTGACCACTTGTATAAACCTTTTTATCTAGCCTCTTCTTATGTATTGGTGTAATCCTATGTTCCCACCAGTCTAGTTTTTTTTGTAGAGTTTTACACCTTATTCATTAGGTAGCTTATAATACATTCACACATGGTTAGAATAAGTTTATCCCTTGCAGCCAATATTGTGGCATTAAATGATTCATAAATGTTGTTCATTAATACATTACACTTAGGATAAAATTTGAAAGAATGCTTACACCAAGTCTTAGTTGGAACTTTCATTGGCCATTCACATGCATTTGTGTCAAGCAACTTCAGCTCCTGCATTTTTTCATGCCAACCTTGGTAATATATGGCTTTGGTTGCACTCATCATTAAATATTTAATTAAAGTACCTCCACCAAATTTCTTTTTGAAGTTAGCATAAATATGTCTCAAGCATAACCTATGTTTTATCCTTTCAAACATCTCATCAAACAGACTTACCAATCCCTATAAATGTTAAACCATATAAGTTAAATCACACTATGAAGACATATCAGTTAAAACATAGAATGGAGAGTATACCCCATGTTGAAACAAACATGCTAACAACATATCAGTTAAAACATACTAACAAATAAAAGTCATATCTTCTGTTGGTCAGATATGAAGACATATTTTCTTTCTTGCCCTATATTCTTCCATTAGTAGTTATGAAACTATCTGCAGCTCTCTTTGGTTTATATCTCAATAACTCCAAAGCCCAATGGAAAGTATTGCTCATTAATATCTCTTCCCACGAATATTAATAACTGTCCACCATATGTTGTCTTCAAATGACAACCATCAACACCTATAAATGGTCTACTACCCTTTGTGAAACCCTGTTTGCAAACATCAAAGCAAAAGTAGAAAGAACCAACCCTGGGTTGAATTGAAGGATTGGGTTTGTCCACCTTAATCTCTGCAGTATTCCCTACACAAACTCTTTTTAACTCAGTTGTGTACATCTAAATAATGGTATGTTATCTAGCAGCATCTATTTCAACTATTCCCTTTACTATTTCCTTTGTGTTCCATGCCCTACCTGATGTTATCCCAACGGAGTAATTCTTCCTCATATCTTGCATGATGTCAGCAATTCTAACATTCTCACATGTTTGAATCATATTAACCACAGCTTTTGCAACCCACTTGGATTTAGCACTTCTATTGTTCAAAACCCTAACACAAGTGTGGGTTGTAATGCCCCAAAATAATTAGAATATTTATTTAATTTATTTATTATAAATATTCTTAATTTTCGTGAATTTTGGTGAAATATTTTGAAGTTTGATGATTTGTGTTGGGAGGTATTGTTGATGTTAAGAGGGTGTTGAGGATAATTAGAAGTATATGATTTATTAGAATTATTTTGATAATAATAATAATGGATAATGTGAATATCTTATTATTATTATTGTAAATAAATAATGGGAACACTAAGGGCAAGATGGTAAAGTTGGATTTAATAAGTGAGAATAAAGTTGGGAAATCATATCAAGGGTCCAAGGGGTAAGAGTGACATAAAGGAAAATAGGGAAATGAGGAATTCATTCTGAACGATCGTATTTTCAAAAGGAGCTCTGAGGAAAAAGGAAAAGAGGAAGCTAGGGCTCAGAGAAATTCCAGAAGAACTCCAGAAGAGGATCGGAATCGAATTATCTAAGTGATGGGGAGTACCATTTGTCATTATAACTGATATAAGGATAGATGTATGTAGGTAGTTGGGGATTTTGGGGAATATGATGAGATTATGATGAAAGTGGGGTTTTGAGTTGTATGAGAGGATATGTATGAGAACTATTATGATGTGTTGTTGTTATTATGTTAATTGTATTGTGAATTACGAGTAATTTTGAACTGATTGGTACTGGAATTGCAAGGAGAATTAGGACTGAACTGGTGCAGAATTGCAACTGAGAAGTTGTAGGTTCGCACAATTTCGTCGGGCAAACTTCCCAGTTCGCAAGGTGAAGCGATTTCACCCCAGCCTCGTCACGCGAAAGTTGGAGCGAGAAGAGGGTGAAAATGAGTGCTCCTGGTTTTTGTATGAATGAGGGAATTCGCCTCTGCTTCGTCGGGCGAAACCCAGGCGAGCGAGTTGCTTCGCCGGGCGAAACCCAGGCGAGCAGGAGCAATAGTTTTTCTTTTCTTTTCTTTTGTTGTGTTGTCTTATGTCTTATTGTCCGTATGCCTTGAGTAATTGGTGTGCTGTATTTTGGTGACTATAACATGATGTTTTGTGATGTAATGTGAAGAATTGTGATGCATAATAATGATATAATATCATGATGTTTTGATGAATTTTCATGAATGATGATGCAACTTGATGATCTTATGATGTTGTTGATTATGACGTAGTGCATCATACATTCATAGCATAGTAGGACTTCAGTCCAGTGTTGTTGATAGGGCTTAGGTCAAGTGTTATTGATAGGACTTCGGACCAGTGTTGTTGACAGGACTTCGGTCCAATGTTGGCTTCAATCCAATTCTGTGGATTGGGGTGTTTATGTTATGCTCCGATTCTTGTGTAAAATCGATCCTATTGGTGGGGATCTTTGAAGGGTGATGGCTCAGTGTCCATCAACATGTTGATTTGGTACCACACGCATGAGTCTATGTTGTTGTATTTCATGTTATGTGGCGTTGCATCTATGTGAATGAATGTTATTATTGATGAGGTGATTTTAAAATGATATGTGATGATGTTGTGACTTAAGTGATGCTTTGGTGATAAGTTATTGATTTTATGATTTTATGAACGAAGATGTATATGCGACACTGTGATATGGAGGTGTGAGTATAGTACTTGACAAATGAGGATGCATGGATTTCATGATGATGTTGTTTTTGTACGGTGAATGTTGTTCTGGACTGGGTCGAGACCTGCCCCTCAATCCGGCAGGCCCAACCCAATGCTACATTTGGGAGGCCCAACAAGGCCCAGTCCTCCCATGTCGGGCACACGTCTCAACAAGGCCCCTCAGACGGGCAGACCACTACCTAGCACGGGGAGAACTCACGCATCTCCCTCATGTTCTCTATGTATCCCCCATGCAGAGATATGTTATCAGGAAACTACCCACTTCTATAAGAGTTGGTCAGCCCACCTTCCGAAGATATCGGGGCATCTGATCCAGGGCGAAGACCACGTGCTAGTTTTCCCTACACCACGTAAGCCCTGACAGTTACTTGTGTTGGGATTGGCAATCCAGCCTGATGCAATGTAACTGTTGGCCCTGCATTTGGGGCATATTATAAGTACCCTCTTTCACTAGAGGGTCAGGTATTCCATTCTCTACACCTATTCTCTCTGTACTTGCGCTTTCTAACTCTATTACTCACTTAAGCATCAGAGTACATTGGTATGCAATCGACCCCACTCCTCCTTGGCCTTCTTCAGCTTGCCCCTCATCTCGTTAATCTCATGAAGGAGGCGCCCATGGGCTTCATACCTCGTCTAAGCCTCCTGCAAGTCGATCTCCACCTTGTTCTTCTCGGCCTTAAGGACGGCGTTCTCTTCTCGCA